TATATATACATATTTATATTTATATTTATAAATCTTGTTGAGAAATTAGGGCGTAGAAAAGTAAAACGACACAAATCCAGAATAACACAGAGATTTCGCGAGGTTCGACAAAGTTGTCTACGTCATCGGGAGCAGAGCGACGAATTCCTTTCAATATTCGGAAAAAAAATTACAGAATTTGGGATAACACTTAAGGTTACATACAGACCTAAGAAAACCCTAGAGTACAATATGTAATTACTTAAATTACCCATGTACCTCACCCCCAACCCACATAAGGAAACTCCACTGATTTGGACAGAATCTTTCATATTGGGTTTGGTATTGCGTTTGGGTCATCTCCCGCCCGGTAACATATTTTTGATAGACGTTTGTATCGTATTGCGTTTGGGTTTGATACCCACATAACATATTTTTGATAGATGTTTCGTATTCTGTTCTTTCAATTAATTAGGTAACTATCGGGCGGGAGTACAACCGGGTCCCACGTGATATAAAATTAATAAAATTTCAAAGAACCCTCAGTTGTTACCATAATACAACCATACTGATACTCCACTAAATTAAAACATAATAAAGTAACATTAAAACCACGGTAACACTGCAGGGCACAAAAAAATTTACGTCGGAAGTAATCACATTAATACCACCACAATAAGACTCGCATAATACCACAATACAATCATAATAATACATCACCGCTTTGTTGATAAACAAATAAGTTAATAATATGCAAATCACTCCGCAATAGAACAATATACTACATAAGAAATAATAAATAAATAATACTCGAATAAATCACTAATAATACCACAATATTATAATATGTTGAATATCGTCGGAATGTAGTTTTTATTCTTGATTGATAGGCAGTCGAAAAATCATTTCAATCTATGGTCAAAGGTTGATTGAGAGGAAGTTTCAGGCTGTTCGCACATCTATAATTAACTGAGTTATATAATCTTATGACAATGGTGATGATGTGATTTGTATCAAGTAAGTCGTAATGGGTTTATTAAATTGTGGGAAAAGAAGAAAATGTAATTGTCAGTTTTCATGTTCTGGACTTCTCAAGTCTGATGTAAATGGTGTTCCGTCAGGTGAATCAGTTGGAACACCATTCACATGAGACTTAAGAAGCGCAGAACAACATAACTTGCAATAACATTTTATTCTGTTTCCACATTTTAGCTAACCCATTACGAATTACTTGATACATATCACATCATCACCATTGTCATAAGATTATATAACTCGGTCAATTTTAGATGTGCGAAGAGTCTGAAACTTCCTCTCAATCAACCTTTGACCATAGATTGGAATGATTTTTCGACTGCCTATCAATCAACAATAAACACTTCAAGATTATATGAATCACAAAATAACTCCATCTCATTGCCTCCGAGAAATCAGGAAACTCTCCATCAACATATCTCCATCTCAACGAATAGTACTTGGCTTGTTCGCCCATCTTCCTCCTTTCCTGCATTGAATGATTTAAGTTATAGAAAAACAAATAAGGCAATAGTAAGATAAGTGCGTCTACTAAAACAGTAAAGACAATAACACCGAAATCACACGATAATAAACCCATAAAGCCGCAACAATAAAACTCTCTTAAACGGTACAATATCACAATAATAAAATCATAATAATACCACAATAACCCAACAATAACACCAACATCAATCGTTAATAAAAATAACACGAGAATATCGTAATGTTACCAAAGAAATAAACACAAAAATAACCCAACAATAAACCCAAAAAGCCGCAACAAAAAAGTCTCTTCAACAGTACAACAGCACAATACAACAATAAAATCATAATAATATCACAATCATCCCACAATAACCCCAACATTCCTTATTAACAAAAATTACACGAGAATACTGCCAAGATCTGGATTGTTAAACACAAGCACAAAAACAAATTCGAACAAAACTAATCTTTGATAAATTCATAAGAATGCAATAAAAATTCCAAATAAAAAAATAAAACTTATTAAACCTACGATATATCTAAGATCTGGATTGTAAAAACTCGCACAGATCAACAAATTACATAATGGAGAAGCAGAGAGGACTTGTACAGATCCGGTACAAGAAGCTAAACTTGCACAGATTTGGAAGCGGTTGTCGTTCTCGTCGCCGGCAGAGCAGTTCTTTTCGGCAGCTCCAAACCCTAAAGTGCGAAACTAAATCTGATTATAACCGAGAAAGGGTCTTACGCATTAAATTTTCGTCAAAAATGAGTATCGGGTTGGGTCGGGCATAAAAAACACTTAATTTTAAGCTGTAAAACCACGTTGGCGAATTTTTATTCGGTACCGCATGTAGGGGTTCATGCGGTGCACGTACCGAATAAAAATTCCCGCTAAACAGGAAAGAATCCTTTTGCCTGCTGGAAAGAAAATCAAACGGGGAATATTTACTTTCCACTATGAGAATATTCCCTGGATGGGGAATTTATTATTGGAAATTTTCCTTGCAGGGAGGTGATTTAAACGGCCGCTGCGGGGAGGTGATTTAACCGGCCGCGGAGAGGAAATTTTTTTTTTCTTTGCTCGAAGATTTAAATTTTTTCTTTTTTTTTTTTTAAAAAAGGGGGGTTCTAAAGACTTTTGCAGAGGAATTTTTTGCAAAAAAATTTTGTTGCAGGATCAATTTTCAGATGATTTTTTCTGGTGCAAAATTTAAGGTGGTGAAGTTTGACGGAACTCGTAACTTCGGATTGTGGTAAACCAGGGTGGAAGATCTGTTGGCTCAACAGGGAATCTTGAAAGCTCTGCAGACAACAAAACCAGATGTCATAGAGGATGAAGATTGTGAAGAATTGCAACAGTGAGCGACAATGACGATACGACTATGCCTAACAAATGAGGTTATCTTTCACGTGATGAATCTGAAATCTCCAGGAGAAGTTTGGAAGAAATTGGAAACTCAATTTATGGCTAAATCTCTGACGAACAAGTTGTATCTAAAGCAAAAGTTGTATGGGTTGAAGATACAAAAAGGTTCTGATCTGGCGCAGCATGTTAATGACTTCAATCAAATAATCACAGACCTGTCACGACTTGATGTGAGTATTGAGGATAAAGATCGAGCGATGATTTTGTTGTGTTCGTTGTCTTCTTCCTATGAACACCTGACGACAACTCTGACATATGGGAAAGAAATTATCAAAGTGGATGAGATTACTGCTGCATTATTGGCTCACAACCAGCTGAAGAGTAAGGAGGATCGTGGAAAGAAGAAAGAGAAGGAGAGTTATGGAAGGCGAAATTCCAAATCCAAGTCTAGAGGCAAAAAGGAAATTCATTGCTACAAGTGCAAGGAGTCAGGTCATATTAAGAGAGATTGTCCAAAGCTGAAGAAGCAGACTAGGGAGAAAGGTAATATTTCATCAAAGTCTGTAAATGTGGTGCAGAATGAAAATTCAGATTGCAGTGATGGCGATATGCTTTCTGTTTCATCAACTTAGTTCACGGATGCATGGATTCTTGATTCTGGGTGTTCTTATCACATAACACCTTACAGAGAGTGATTTACTTCATATATGTCAACTAATTTTGGCTCAGTCTATTTGGGTGATGATAGATGCTGCAATATAGTTGATATTGGAGAAGTCAGAATTCAGATGTATGATGACACAGTTAGAACGTTATGTGATTTCAGACATATTCCAGATCTGAAAAAGAATTTGATTTCCTTGGGCATTCTACACAAATGGTTTTATTCTTAAGGCCGATGAGGATAGGGAAACCATTAGAATTGTTAAGGGTGCACTGACCGTGATGAAATGAAAGTTAACTACAGGTAATATCTACAGACTGTTAGGGAGTACAGTTATAGATGAAGTTCATTCTGTGGAATCAGATAATGACAGTACAAAACTATGACATATGCGTCTGGGTCATCTCAGTGAACGTGGGATGACAGAATTGCATAGAAGAAAACTGTTGCATGGTGTTAAAAACTGCAAGCTTGATCTTTGTAAGTTCTGTATTCTTGGAAAACAGACTAGAGTCAGTTTTATGACTGGAAAGCACAAAACTGAAGGAATTCTTGACTATGTGCATTCTGATGTATGAGGTCCTATTAGGGAGTTGTCATTGGGAGGATCTCAGTATTTCGTTACCTTTATTGATGATTTCTTCAGGAAAGTTTGGGTGTATTTCTTAAAGCAGAAATCTGAAGTATTCTCTAGGTGGAGAATCAAACTGACAGAATGATCAAGTATTTGAGGTCTGATAATGACACATAGTACACAAATTCGTAGTTTCAGAAGTTCTGTGAGGAGCATGGGATTCAGAGACATTTTTCAGTGCGGAAGACAGTACAGCAGAATGGTGTGGCAGAAAGGATGAACAAGTCCTTAACTGAAATGTCAATGTGCTTGAGACTGAATGCAGGACTTCCTAAGAGTTTATGGGCAGAGGCTGTGAATATGGCATGCTATCTCATCAATAGATCACCTCGAGCATCATTGGGTGACAAGGTCGCAGAAGAGGTATGGACGGGTAATCCAGTTAAATTTGATCATTTACGGATTTTTGGATGTCCTGCTTATGTGCGTGTACATAGAGATGAAAGATCCAAACTTGATGCAAAATCCAAGAAGTGCATCTTTCTGGGCCACAAGAAAGGTGTAAAAAGATACAAGTTTTGGGATCTGATTGCAAAGAAGATAGTGATCAACAGAGATGCAGTTTTTGATGAGCAGTTTATGTTACAACAGAATCAAAACAAGATGCCATAGAAGAGTTCCAGTTCAGATGCAGTGCAGATGGATTTAGAACAACAACCAGTAGCTTCTGAGAGAGGTGAAAGTTCAAATCCAACACCTGGTGATTCTATTCCAGATGATCTGCAGAATTACAATCTAGCCAGAGATAGACAGAGACGCACCAATGTAAGGCCTCCTAGCAGATTGGGTTATGAAGACTTAGTCTCATGTGCACTTCTCATCAGCAGCGATGATCCAATCACTTTTCAAGGAGCTATCACTAGCATGAGAAAGAGAAATGGATGGGTGCAATGGTTGAGGAGATGAAGTTTTTGCAGAAAAATCGCACTTGGGAGCTAGTTCAGCTTCCAGAGGGAAAGAAGGCTATTGGGTGCAAACGGGTCTACAAAAGGAAACCAGCAGTATCAAAAAAAGAAGGGGAAAAGTTCAAGACTCGACTGGTTGCAAAGGGATTTTCACAGCAGATGGGGATAGATTATTATAAAATCTTTTCTCCTGTGGTCAGACATACTTCAATTAGGACAGTGCTTGCATTAGTAGCTATTTGGGATTTGCATTTGGAGCAGATGAATGTTAAAACCGCTTTCTTGCTTGTTGATTTGGAAGAGCAAATTTACATGGAGCAGCCAGAAAGAGTTCACTCAACTTGGACAGGAGCATTTGGTTTGCAGGTTAAAGAAATCGCTGTATGGGTTGAAACACTCTCCAAGACAATGGTACAAGCGGTTTGACTCCTACATGATGCAGATTGACTACAGGCGATGTGAGTATGATTGTTGTGTTTATGTGAAGAGCCTTGATGATGGTTCTATTATTTTTCTGTTACTGTATGTTGATGATATACTGATTGCTGCAAAGAATATGAATGATGTTCGTGGTTTGAAAGCTTTATTGAGCCAGGAATTTGACATGAAAGACTTGGGTCGTACGAAGAAGATTCTTGGAATGGAGATTCATCGAGACAAAGACTCAAGACGATTATGTCTATCTCAACAAGGATATGTTAAGAAAGTACTGGAAATGTTTGAGATGAGCAATGCAAAGCTTGTGAGCACTCATTTGACAAATTATTTTAAGCTTTCTTTAGAACAATGTCCTAAGTCTGATACAGAAATGGAAGACATGGCAAATGTTCTATATGCCAGTGCAGTTGATTGCTTGATGTATGCTATGGTATGTACTCGTCTTAATTTGGCTCATGTTGTTAGTCGAGTCTGCAAATACATGGCTAAACCTGGAATGCGACATTGGGAAACAATCAAGTGGATTTTCAGGTATCTGAAGGGTACTGTAGGACATAGAATTATTTTTGACAGTCAGAAGAATGATCCTTCAGTTCTGGGGTATGTTGATTCAGACTATGCAAGTGATTTGGATGACAGAAGGTCTACAACTGGGTATGTGTTTACTCTTGGTGGAGGGCATATATGTTATTCTTTTGTGGCATTATCTACACCTGAGGCAGAGTATATGCAGTAGCGGAAGCTGCTAAAGAAGCCTTATGGCTTGTTGGGCTAGTAAAGAAACTGAGCGTTGAGTAAGGTGGAGTTTAGTTGCATTGTGACAGTCAGAGTGCTATTTATCTGGCTAAGAACCAGGTGTACACCATGCGAGAACCAAACACATTGATGTCAGGAATCACAAGATCAGAGAGTTGATTGTTTCTGGGGAGATACTGTTGCAGAAGGTTCATACTGATGAGAATACAACTGATATGTTGACCAAGCCAGTTACTATCAACAAGTTCTTGCATTGCTTGGATTTGTTGAATGTTTGCAGTTGCTAGAGAAGCATGGTGGCCCAACCCACAGTGATGCAGGTGTACTCCCAGGTATTTTTCTCCTAAGAGGCTGGATATTCGTCAAGGTGGAGATTTGTTATGGTATGACTCATATACCATATCGGGACAGACGCTGGATCGAAGCGGAGCGGAGCGGAGCTGAAGAATTTGTCCAAATTAGGAAGTTACGTGGGTTGGGGTGCGGGGGCAAAGCCCCGCGGTATGGTACAGGGGTAATGTTGTAATTACATATTGTGCCTAAGGTTTACTCCTGGGGTTATAAATAGACCTGTTAGTAACCCCATGAAGTATCCCTCTATTCTGTAATCCCTTTTCTGAATATTGAAAGAAACTCGCCGCTCTGCTCCCGAGGACGTAGACATCTTTGCCGAATCTCGTTAAATCTCTGTGTTCTTCTGGATTTATGTCGATTACTGTTTTTTTTCGCCCTAATTTTCTCAACAAATTTGCTAGCTAACATTTTAGGATTTGCTTCAGATCCTTATATCATTTGAATTTATCATTTTTCACCTCATTTTTTATTATAAAATCTTGCTAAGTAGTAGGAATAAGATAGTTTGAGCTTAATCGCACTAAATGGTCCTTCTGCCGGATTGAATAACCTCATCTGATTACTTAATGACACTTATGATGCTTAAAAGCAAAAGTATAAAAAGACAGTGAGATTCACGCTATTTTTTTCATTAATGTTTAAGGAGATCTAAACGAATCTATTCAATATTTGCACAAAAATGGAAATAAGGAAACTCCTAACTACAACATGTTTGCCTGACTCGACTGCACCCTTCAATGCATTGTCATAGTTGTTGTTATGTGCCCATTGTAGACTAGTTTTATACCCTTAAACAATGTCATAGACTTGGACATTTAATAGATAGCCTAGCTACCTTTGTTAGTCCCAAAGATATATTAAACAGCCGGGTGATGCCTATGGTGGTGCTTGATTCATGCTAGTGCAAGTTAATGAAAGTGTATGGATGTGTATGCTTAATTATTCATTTAGAGATATGTTAGGAGCCCCTTATCATTGTAAATTTTCGACCAATAAAAAGGTTGGAAAGTTTTTCTTGTAATATTGGTGTTATTTTTTAGTTATGCATGTTTTTACTTTGTGTTTAGCAATGCCGAAATCTGGCATGGAGCCTACATTTGCCTAGTAGTTGTGTTTCACTGAAATGATGAAAAATTTTTGTTGAAGCTCTAAGCCCATGGCGACTAGCCCTTTTTGAGTTGTGGCCGTCAACTCCTATCATTTGTGTGGTTGTAGCTCTTTCAATTTTTAATGTCTCATCTTCTTCCTTGAAGGTCATTGAGGTTTTGAGGCATCCAAATTGATCCTTGTTTAATAAAGCCTTGCACATATTAGTGAGTGAGCCATTTAGCAAAAAATTTTCACAGCCTCAGGTGTATCCGCCACAAGAACTACCAAAGGAGCAAGTGCACAATAAATTTTGGGGAATTTACTTGCATACCGCCTAATTCCGATTTAATTACACACTAAGACCTAAACTTTACCTTTTTACATTTATACTGCTTAAATCTTTCATATCACATCAAAAATACCACCACTTATAAAGTGAAATACACTTTTTCATGCATAGGCATGGTGGTATGCATGTAAAAATTGAAGTTTATATCTTAGATATGTAAATACATAGGAAGTGACTGGTATGTATGTAAATCTTACTAATTTTTTGATACCTGCTCTCCTTCTACCTCTTGAATATTGCCACAATCTCATTAAGTTTCTTTTACTATACCAAATTTTTTGCTGCAGGCAATTACCAGTTGAAGCTTCAAGTCCTTAACAGAGGAAAGTAAGGAATATGAGTAGAAATGCTCGGCTCGATTAATTGTTTCAAACCTACAGTTTCCAGAGCAAGGAACAAAAGTGTAAAGCCTCTTTTTACATATTCATTCTTAGTGCCAATTTGGAGCTCAAATTGAATTATCTAGGCAGCCATCCTAGTCCTAACCGTTCTTAATTTTAACGAAAATTGACTTAACTAGTAATATTGATGAATATTCTATCTGGATTGAGGACTCCACTCTGTATTCTCATCCTACTTGTGTGCTTCTTAACATTAATCCAATCACGCTTTGTTTGGCTTTCACCCATTTGTTTCGTTTGTCTTGACTGTTAGTTTAGTCGAGTTTGAACCCCACCCATCGAGAGTCCCGCTTCAGTCATTCAATTATCCTCGAAACTTGTTAGCTTGCTCATAATCATTGGTTGCTTTCATTTGCTACGATTAGCTTATATGTGCTACCTTTCATGGTCAACACCTTGAAACCATTGAAGCAACCAAACAACTACTTGGTGATAGTTTTTCTGCATCAATTGCCGTGCTTCACTTCATTTTTGTTTTATCCGCCACTTCCTAACTTTTTCCCCCAAGCCAATGGGATCATCTCGCTCATCACTTAACAACCTTTACACATTTGCCCGTCCAATTGTCTTAAGGACCCTCATCTTATCACGTCAATAATTACAAATAGGTTGATCTTCATCCAATAAAGATAATTTTTAGGCATCTTTGTGTTATGTTTTTGTAACCTAATGGATTCCCAAGTAACTTTTCCTCTTTCTTTATTTTCTTTGAACTTTTGTTTCCCAAGAACTTTTGAAGTTTGTCTTTTAAAAACTTTTCTCAAGTCACTTAAATTTTTTTTCTTTAAAGTGGACACAATTCAATAACCAAAAAATTTAAAATCTCGGTTTTTGTGTGTTGTTTGATTCGGTGTTTTTCTCTTGCCTCTATCGTAATTAGCATCAAAACACATGCTATTCGTGTATCTTGCTCCAAACATCTCAAGAAATTCCCATGGTCAAAATTGCATTGTAGTTTTTGATTTAGCGACTATTGTGATGAAATTGAAGATTCCAACACAAACACAAGTATTGATATGTTGATGTCCCTTGTAGGAATTTCAAAAAGATCAAAGTGGCCTTCAAAGATAAAAAAAAAATAATCTCTTAACTGATTTCAATGAGTGATTTTTTATAAATTTTGAGGGCATTATGGTCATTATTAGGAATATTTTCATATCATGAATAATGAATATGCCAACCTGTACCTTCACAATTAAAACATGACCACACAATTGAGCTTTTGAGTTGACCTTATCGTCCAACATAGATATGGATTGATATGTGACGCCAGTTTTAGTCTGGCATTAGCAGCCATTGGCTCCAATTGATAATCCGAAGATACCATTTTGCATATCTCGACTCCTTGAATCTGTAAGCAATAATAAATCCCAATTTTTTCAATTGGATCAACGAGAATGATTCTAAGAAGATTTGTCATCTTTGATTTAGATCATTGGAGAATGGCATCGACGTTTCACTATTTTTAACGGAGTGCTCAACAACTCCACAACATTTGATGTTTTTAATTGATTTCTATTATAACAACTGCACTAATCTCATCCAAAGCTTATTTTTTTGTGTTTGTGCTTATCAAACTAATTACAAGTAATTACACTTGTAAATACTATTATGAAGTCATTACTGAGCTTCATAGAGGCATACTGCTTGATAAGAATTTTCATTGCATTCTTATGAGAAAAACATTAAAACAGTTCCTTGACTCTTTGCATCGGTTCATTTTAATCCCATAGCCTATAAAGTGTCAATTTAGTCCGTAGACTCTTCTAACATAGACTGAAATAGTTTTAGCCCCAATTTAAAAAAACTGGGGACTAATTTGTCTTTTTTGTAGACTCTGGACTAAAATGATCTCATGTAATAGTCCAGAGACTACTTCAGAACTTTACTCATATTTATATATTAACCATCCAAGTTGATCTTGATAATCTAAGTGTGATAAAATCCGAGTCTTCTAACTCCCCTCAAATCAGCATTTAACAACAGGCTTTGGTCTTCTAACAACCTTTTTTATCACAGACCCTAAATAAGTTAACTTTATTTTGCATTTTTATCTCTCAACTTAATGATTTGTAAATTATAATGAACTCAGTGACACTTTGGCAGCATGTTCATCATCAATAATTAGCTCGTCTCTCGATCGCAACCTGCGCATCCCTAACAGCAGCTATGCTCTCACTGCCAAGAACTGTGTCCTTTGCAGCTGCAGCTTCACCACATGGCAGTTAATTTCCTATTCAACTTCCATTTATTCATATTATCACTTAATTTGTATTTCCATAAATTTTTGTTAATACATATATTTATGGAATATTTACTTGCATACCACTAAATTCGTGTGCTAACTTCTCTAACACCTAAACTTCAATTTTTACATATATGCCACTTTACCTATGCATGAAATCGTGTCTTTTACATCTTAAAAGTTAATATGGTGGTATTTTTGATGTGATATGAAAAATTTGAATGGTAGAAGTGTAAAAAGTAAAGTTTAGATGTTATTTATGCAAATATATAGGAATTGGGTGGCATGTAAATTTTCAGCATTCTTGTAACAGATTGGAGTGTCACCCAAGGAATAAGCAACAACTCATGCCCTGCAGCTAAATGTGGGAGCCTCTTCATAGGCAACAACTCTGTTTCAGCTTGTGAGACTTCTACCTGCTCTCATGCTGGCTACAATGCACACAACAGTTTTAATATTTTTAAAATATAACATATGAAATTAATATAAAAATATTATTTCTTTAATTACTTAACTAATTCGAGTCAAAAGGTGTCGAGGACAATCTAATAAAAGTTTCTTCATGTAGGGTTGTTAACTAGTTAAACATGAGCTGTTCACGAGCGACGTGCTTTTCGATAGCCCTAAAAAGTAATGAACTTGATTTGTTATTTGTCATTCAAGGAACCAATGGCTTGGGACCAGGGTCGCGATTGCCAGAGAAAAATGGTTGTTCATCGAGGCTTCGAGTTGGATGGATGATTCAGACACCAGTGATGATTCTTCTTATATTTTTGGTAATTTTTTGTTTGCTTTGCAATGAGAATAGTTAATGGGCATTTTGATACTTAATTTTATGTTGAATTTGTTGTATTTATTGGTTGTTTCAGGGTTTTTTGGCCTGAAACTCTGAATTGAGAAATCAATTTTTTCACTGATACGTCGCCTTGTTATCTATCATTTTTTTCGAGCATTCACATACATACGACCCAATTCCTATGTATTTACATCAACGTTGCTTTGCTGCATTTTTACCACCCAAATCTTTCATATATCATCAAAATTATCACTTTTATCTTTTGAAAAGTGAATCACACTTTCCGATGTATAGGTATGTATTTGAAAATTGAAGTTTATGTCGTAGATTTGTAAATACATAGAAATGAGTGGTATGGGGATACATAGCACTCTCAAACATTGCTATTTACAAATTTAGCGCAATCTTTTATCTCTTTTTTAAATTATCACTTAAAATCTCCAACCATGATCTTCATCTTTATAAAATTCTCAATGATTTGATCATATAATTCATTAATGCGTCGATCCATTAGCTCAAAAAAAAGATTGAGAGAAGAAGACAAGTTGTCGGTGTGTGATATCCATGTCCTAATAGGCTAAGTAACAAAGACAAAGATGATGAAAAAGCATTATTAACATAATGACTATATAAAAGAAAAATATTATAAGTTTAGTTAAATATTTTACAATTTATAACTCAATAAAAATATTATTTTATAAATAAACAAAAAAAACTACATTAATAGATATAGATTAGGACAAATAAATAAATAAATAATTCCAAGGGGGTCTTTGGCTATCAAATCCATATGCTCTTAAATTTGGGAAAGTGTTTGGTTTAGTAAACGTTAAATTAGTTTAAATAAATATGATGAAGGTCATCTTTAAAAGTTTTTTATTTTTTTAATTTTCTCATTTTATTCTAAGCTTGAATATTATCTATCTTTAAATTCAATTTTCTTTATAAAATAACTAAAATTATTTATATGATTTTCTTTTTTTAATTTATTAAAAAAATTGATTTAGTTTTTAATACTTATAAGTATTGAAATGTCATCAACAAAATTACATCATATGTCATAAATCTCTAGGCATAACACAATCTTCTGAGTAAAGAATATTCAAACTTTGAATAAGTGTTATTCAGAACTTCAATTTCAGCAAAACTTATAGTCAAATGGATCGGCTCGACGAGACAGACCAAATGATACCAAAATTTGTCCAATCCGAGCCAAATCAACCCCGATCAAGCACTTAAAATGCTTTTGGAAGCTTTCTGGACATATTTAAAAAGTTAAACATATGCTGAATCATCAGAGTTCATAGTCGAATCGAGCGTCTCGATATGACAAATTCAACGAGTTCATGATCACTCAATTCCGACATTGCTAAAACACTTAAATGTTCATCGAAAACTATATAATCAAAGAAAGCTCTCATGACTATATTAAGTTGTTAATTAAAATAAAATTAATTTTGATTAAAGTTTTTCTTAATTATCATTGTTTAGTTCATGAAAGTAATTAAAAAATATAAAATTAAATTAAAAACTATATGTAGTTGTTTGAATTAATATTTTCTTAATTAAACAATATTAGTAATCTATAACCCTGCTCTTTAATTTATTATACTGTAGAAATCACATCTTTAAGTTAGAAAAATTATTGCATACGGATATTGATATCCGATTCTGGTGATCTACAGTCAGGATATATTTTGACTTGTTTTTTAAATTTTTAAATGAGACTCACTAAAATACATCCTAAACACTAAGAATCAGATACTGCATGTATCTCTTATGCAATAAATTTTACTCAAGTTACCCAGATTCTTGAACGCCTTCCTTTTCATCCTCCAACGCACATCCATTGCCTTCCTTTCCATCCTCCAACGCACATCCATTATAGCAAGCAACTACTACACACCCTAAACTTACAAAGATACTATCCTCATCCTTCATCGCAATACCACCTTCTTCCGTCCTCCTGACCCCCTTCCTCTCTTCCTCTCTTCCACCGTCTCTTCTCCTCTTAGCCCTTATCTCTTCCATGGCAGACTGGTTTGTTGGCCCAATCATAGATAAGATCATCAACGCTTGCTCTGATTACCTGCAAGATCAATATAGATGGCAGACGGGCATGAAGGAGGAGCTCGAAAGGCTGCGAGAAAACCGCCCTAAGGTCGAAGCTGTCGTCTCTGCTTCCACCCAAGCACAGATCAGAGATCGAAACCCAGCACTCAACAGCTGGATATGGCAGCTACGAGATGCCATCGATGAGGCCGATGATGTTCTGGATGACTTTGAGTACAAGAAGCTTCAAGAAGGAACTTGGCAAAAGGTGCGTTCCACCATGAGTTGTTTAAAGAAAATTGTCAAACGTGCTCTCAAGATGGATCCCAATTTGAAGAGACTGGAGAAGGTTGTTAAGAAGCTTGATAAAGTTTCAGCTGAGGTCAGTGCTTTCCTTCATCTCTTTGAAAACGCAAAGCAGGAGCAGCGGGAGCTGGAGCATCGGTTGTTCAAAGATCGTGAAACAGGATGCTTGCCTAAAAATGATCTCATCGGTCGGGACGAGGAGAAGGATTTTGTCATGCATTGGTTGAGGAAGCCAACAAATGAAGATCCAACTCATATTGCTAGTTCTACTTTGTACAAAAATATATCTCTCTCCATAGTGGGTCATGGTGGCATGGGCAAGACAACACTCTTACAACACATCTATGAAGATCTGAAAGAAGAATTTGAGCTGAAAATGTGGGTTTGTGTTTCCAACGACTTTGATGCAAAAAAGGTCATTGTCGATATATTGGAATTTCTTAACAAGGAGAGGCCTCGTTTGGAGTCACTCGCTGCTGTTCAGGAGAGTCTTAAAGCTGTCGTGCAATCCAAAAGGTTCGTACTTGTTCTGGATGACATTTGGGAGGAAGATATGAGCAAATGGGAGAATGTGCTCTCTCCTCTGGCTAACGGCAGTTTTGGAAGTAAGATTTTGATAACTACTCGAATGGATACAGCTGCATCAGCAATTGAAAAGGTTATTAAAAAGAAGATGAAAACATTAATAATAAATGGCTTGAAGGAAGATGTGTGTTTGAAGCTACTCAACACTCATGCATTTGCTGGTGTAGAGAACCTTGGTGCTCATAAAAAATTAACAGACATTGCTAGTTTGATAGTTAAAAAGCTTTCAGGATCTCCGTTGGCAGCGAAGGTCATCGGTGGTGTTCTCAATTCTAACTTGAACGAGAGTTTTTGGATGAACATTTTAAATAGTCCTGATATTCTAAACGTAGAACCAGAACCGGGTCGCAATAACATTTTGCCTATTTTAAGATTGAGTTTTACGTTGCTTCTACAACCTCTACAAAATTGTTTTGCATTTTGTGGCATATTCCCACAAGATCATAAGTTTGATAAAGATGATTTAGTCCGAATGTGGATTGCATTGGGTTTCATTCAGGAATCTTCTATTGAAGGAGAGACTTTGGAAGATAATGGAGGAAGGTATTTTGATGATTTGGTCAGAAAATCTTTCTTTGTCGAGTTTCAGGATGACGAGAGAGTATACTATAAGATGCATGATTTATTACATGATTTGGCACAGTCTATTTCTTCAGAAGAATGTTATAGATTTGTGGGAGATAATGTTTCATCTTTTAGACTTCCTAAAACTATTCGGCACTTATTTGTTGAAACTGAAAATCTCGAAGTGTTGAGAATGATCAAAGATGTTAAATCCCTACATTCACTTTTTTTAACAAGTCAAATACATGTTCAATATTTTACTGAAATGCTTACTGACATTTTTAAGGAATCAAGAAGCATTCGTTTATTGTTTATACACTGTCGATGGCAGAAAAAGACGTCTGAGGCTATTAAAAATTTGAGACATCTTCGATATTTGAATCTTACTGCAGATCTCACTCAGATGCCAAGATCTCTAAGCAGTTTTTATCATTTGCGGTTCATAATCTATAAAACGGTGGCTGATGGATCTTGGTCTGATGATTTCTTGCCCGGCAAAGTGAGTAATCTTTCTAATCTGCGTCACTTGGAATTGCCCGGCGATGTGAGTGTACCTGGAATTGGGAAATTAAGGTCACTTCAAGAACTAAAAGAGTTTAATGTGAAGAATGAGAATGGTTATAGAATTGGGGAGTTGAAACATATGAATGAGTTGCGCAAATTAAAAGTACATTTTCTGGAAAATGTGAAGGATGCTGGAGAGGCTGGCAATGCAAAATTATTTGAGAAGAGAAAACTCACAGATTTATTCTTGAATTGGGGCAAAACTGTTGATGAATCAGACAATGGAGTTGATGAATCAGACAGTGGAGTTGGAAGCCTGCGGAACATTGTCAATTCTGACTTAGATGTGAATGTGCTTGATAATCTTGAACCATACAAAAATTTGAAAAGATTGGACATTGGTTCATATGAGGGTGCAAGATCTGCAAAATGGATGTACAATGCCGATTTGATCTCCAATCTGGAGTACATCAGTCTGAACGGGTGCTCCTGTTTCTTTCCTTGCTTAACTGAACTCTTCCCCACCTCAAGTCGCTTTACCTTCGTAACATGCCAAAAGCAAAGTGGCTTGATTATAAATTCCATGGGAATGACAAGGTTACTGTGTTTCCATCGTTGGAGGTGCTAAATATGGAGGGATTACAAGTATTTGAGGATTGGTTTGATGGAGCAGGAGCAGGAGCAACAGCAGATGACTGTTTCTTTCTGACCGTTTCTTTCCTTACTTAACGGAACTCTCCCTCGTTAACTGCCCAAATCTGCAGGAGTTGCCCTATTTGCCTCCTAAGCTCAAGAAAATGCAGATAGATAGCATTGGATGGAAAGCTTTGAAATGCAAGCAAGGAGGCACTAGGCACCTCAAAATCTATTCCCCTTGAAACATTAGAGGTGAGTTCGTGTCCAAACATCACATCTCTTTTTCTGGCGGATGTTAGACTTGAAGCACTGAGAAAATTGAGAATTGAAGGTTGCCCCAATCTGATTTCTCTGGGTGGACTGCAACAAGTGGAAAGTGGCATTGAGAAATTCCAGCTTATTGTCAGTGAAGTTGTTATAGATGACCCATCCTTGTTGCCAACGGTAAGTGTCGCCTACTTGGAAAAGCTCACAATTTGTAATAATGATGTGCTGCTTTCTTTTCCAATTGAGGTGGAACAGTGGTTTCCCCACGTTAGCTCATCCCTTCGTGAGTTGAGCTTTAGAGGCCTCAAATCCCTGCAGTCTATCCCTTCCTCCTCTCTCCCAATCCCTGCAGTCTATCCCTTCCTCCTTGGAACGCCTCTCTTCACTTAAGATTCTACGCGTCGAAGATGTTCCTCAGCTCCAGCAGCTTCTACACATCCCCGCCTCCCTGGAAGAATTACATCTTGAATTACTGAAATCATTGCAGTGCCTGCCAACGGATTTGTCGGCCATCTTATCCCTGGAGCGACTAGAATTAGAATGCATTCCACTCCTCAAACCATTTCCAGACCTCCCTTCCTCCTTGAAGTCACTGACTCTATGGTTTCTTTATAACATAGAGTGTCTGCCATCTTCTCTGTCGGCCATCTCATCCCTCGAGCAACTACAATTATGTAAGATTCAGCTCCTCAAATCATTGCCTAGCCTCCCCTCCTCCTTGGCGTCACTGAAGCTATATTGGCTTTATAACCTAGAGTGCCTGCCAACTTCTTTGTCGGCCATCTCATCCCTCAAGCAACTAGAATTATATAAAATTCCACTCCTCAAATCATTGCCAGACCTCCCTTCCTCCTTGTATTCACTGTTTCTACATGAGCTTGATAACCTAGAGTGCCTGCCATCTTCTTTGTCGGCCATCTCATCCCTCAAGTTTCTAGAATTAGAGTACATTCCACTCCTCAAATCATTGCCAGACCTCCCTTCCTCTTTGCATTCACTGGAACTAAGTAATCTTGATAACCTACACTGCCTGCCATCTTCTTTGTCCGCCATCTCATCCCTCAACCGTCTAAAATTAGAAAGCATTCCACTCCTCAAATCATTGCCAAACCTCCCTTCCTCCTTGAATTATGTGAATATAAATAGTCTTAATAACCTAGCCTCTACCGACTAGAAATAGAAAGCATTCCACTCCTCAAATCATTGCCAGAGCTCCCTTCCTCCTTGGAGTCACTGACTCTAGCTAGACTTGATAACCTACAGTGCCTGCCATCTTCTTTGTCGGCTGTCTCATCCCTCTGGTATCTACAATTATATAGTATTCCACTCCTCAAATCATTGCCAGACCTCCCTTCCTCCTTGTATTCACTGGATATCGCAGATTGTCATCCAAAGTTGACGAAGCGTTATAAAAAATTTTCAGGCTCTGGTTGGCACAAGATTGCACACATTCCTAGCGTCCATTTTAATTAATTGGTTTCATTCCAAATCAATCTCTTCCCATCAAAATGTGAATATGTGAGGTGAGGACTTATTATTTACATATATTCATGTCATCCTATGCTATCCACAGGCTTATTTATTATTCTAATAATTAATATCTGACTGATTTTGATGAACAACTATTTGGTCTTACAAATTTTGTGGTTCAATACCATACGTGTGATTAGGATTTTATTTAATTACATCCTTTATTCTTGAGTTTGTGACCCGGATTTTATTGTGTTTTGACCGAATGGCTTTTCATATGACACATATAGTGTAACTAAAAATTTGTTTGAGTTGTACATTTGATGCAATCGGCATTCAGTAAAGTTTCTTATATTCATCTCATCCTATGCTATGCTATGCACAAAATTATTCCATGAACAACTATTTGGTCTTACAAATTTCGAATTTTGTGGTTCAATACCATAAGTGTGATTATGATTTTATTTAATTACTTCACATATTTACTTTATTTTGGTTGATTTCTTTAATTCTTATTTTGGTAAGAATTTTTTTATCTTATTTTCTTCTCATTTCACGAAAGAGTTAACTAATTAAGAATTAACCCATGCTTATTGGTTAGATTTTCTAATTATTGGCAATTTGTTAGTGCTTTTTATTTCTTGAAACAATAGAATTATAAAATGATTGTTTTGCCGATAATTTTTAATTTCAATTGTAGTTAAAATATTGCTGGTTTTCTTTTTTGAAAATTGTATATAAATATAATAATTGTTTGGATATGGTATAAACATTGATTTTTATTTTATATTAAAAAATTTGTTTGAGTTGTACATTTGATGCAATCGGCATTCAGTAAAGTTTGGTAAAATCAAGAGCTTTAAAACTCATAAGATGTGAGAAATACATTCGTAATCCTATACTTATTACTTGTTAGGAATATATCCCGAATAATCCCTACCTATATCGAGCTTATGATCAATTATAAACTAAACCACACCGCGAAACAACAGGATTATACTAATTTTGAGAAAATCAGAACAAAGTTCGAACAAAAAGCACAATCAAAGCAACAACAAAAAATACAAAATGGATTTTACGTGGAAAAATACGAGCACAGAGTCACACCACCAGAAATTTCATTATGAAATTCCAAAAAAAATTTTACAAAGAATTCACATCAGTTTTTTCTCTACACATAAGGAAACTTACAGAACATACCACTCAAAATCGACACTTAAAATTGCCCCTGACGCCCACTCCTTGTGATGAAGTACGGTATGAAGCAACACAATATCTTACTATCCTTGGTAGGGGTTTCATGCATTCTTTGGGTTTAGGGTTAAACCCAATTGTGTGATATATATGTAAATGTTAGATTTTAAGCCTATGATTGAGATCCGAGTAAACCAATTAATATGGTAAATAATAGGAAAACATTTATGATCAAAATAGGTGCTCTTAACATTTCCACATAGCAATATTGCTTGATCTTCATATTTATAACACCATGATGTCGCAAGTATATGTATGAAAAGATTTATTTCACTTTTAAAAAAATAATGATAGTGATACGCTGATACTTTCGATGTAATATTAAAAAATTGAGTGGTATTCATGTAAATATGAAAATTTAGGTGCTAGAAATGTAAACACGTAAGAATAATGCTTGGTATTTAAATTTAGTCTTAATGTAACCATTTGGGTAATACTGTGCAATAGATAGGACATTTGAAGCATTAGAAACGTTCTAGTACGTTTTTGTCTTAGTATAGCACTTGGCCCCAATTGAAGAAAAGCTACAATTAAATTACACAAGAAGCATCTTCATTTTTCCATCTGAAAAGCTCTCTTATGCATGCTGATCATCAGAGAATACTTTGTAACATTGGTGAAGTACCATTCATGTTTTGCTTCCATTGTTGCCCCAACCTTCATATTTCTGCATATTGTTAACTAGAAATGATAATGACTTGTAAAAGATTGCTGGACTTCAGCTCAACTTCTTTCATAGGCAACGCTTCAAATTGACTTTTTAGCATTTGATGTCATGTCTTTTTAAGCTAAATTTCTATCTTATATGAGACATGCAGCTTCACTCATGCTTGCTTGACCTAAATAATTAATGTCAGAAATGATCAAACGAGACATATTGAAGAATTAAAAAAGTGCATGTATTCTAACTTGGGTTCCATGCAAGACTAGATTTTTATTAACTAAATTTATGATATATAAGGAAGGAATGAGATCATATATACATCTAGATTCACACAAGATACTTGTAAATATTTACCTCTGTATAAGATTTTAGATAGCCCCTGAACATAGAAATGACATTATTTGCTTGAGCTAGTGCTCTTTAGTATGCATTATTTGGCTTATCGACATAAAGAATCCAACGTTCATTGAATCTGGGGTATTCCTAGTCGAATCGAGTTTATCGACAAGACGAATCCAACGAGCCCACCCAAGGTCTCTCAAATCTGACATTTTTAAGGCATTCAAACGTTCATTGAACGCCATGAACGCCATATGATCAAAGTAAGCTCTCCGGATCCTCCGATCAAAATGATTCATATTCCTGCATTAATTGAACTCTATAAATAGGGCCCCCCTCCCTCTCATGAGGAGGAGGTAGCTGGAGGCTTGAGGAGGAAAGTTTGAGGCTTGAGAAAGAGCTTAAAGCTTTGATAAAGAGCTGACGTCCAACACCACTCCTGCCATCGTGGATCACCTCCGCCGCCTTCGACCACCACTTATCGGTCGCCACTCGTTCGATACAACAAGTTCTTCAGCTCACCGTTGCTGTAAAGCAAAAGAATTTATGACTCTTTCTCATATATAAGACAACAAAACACTGTAAACATCAGCTTATAGTGAATCTCTTCAGTTAGGTTAGACCTGTAAATTTTTTATTTTTGGGGTTTTTCATGTAAAAATTTCTTGTGTCGTTGATGGTTGTTTTTTTTCACACATCAAGTGTATAAGATTTTGTTGATTTGAATCACATGAAAGAAAAAACCTTCTGATATGGAAAAAAAAAGGTGGGAGTAACTTTGCAACCGTAAATACCATTTATGTAAGGTTGTCAAAATAACTGGTTGTTTATAAACAACAGTGTTTAATACTAATATTTTAAATAATTTAATTGACTAAGGATCTGTTTGGGGCAGCTGCCGCTTATCCAGCTTCTGCTGATAAGCAGCTGATCCTGATAATATGCTGACGAGCAGCTGGTCCGAATAAGCTGGTTGACAGTTTGGTTTGTGCGTTTGGAAAACAGCTGGTTTGTAGCTGCTTCTAGATAAATGACAATTTTGCCCCTGAACTGAATAAACTGTTATGCAGTTTGGTTTATGTGGTTTGAGAACAACTGATTTGCAGCTGTTTGTGGAAAATGACCATTTTTTCACTGTTAACCTCATTTTTGGTTGAGGTCTGACATAAGACTTTCTTATTGACAATTCTTAGAAAACTAGAAAAAGGCACCCTCACTATTAGAAATTATAAACTTCTCTTTACTCAATATGAAGTTCCACATATTGGTCATAACATCTAGCATTTAGAAGGTAAGATCATTATGAGGGAACTCAAAAGGAGTTCTTATAGGGTTACTTGGCCTTA